GGAGTGCAGGAATGGGAGGAGCCTGTGGCCTGCAGAAGCAGTGTGGACGCTGCCTGATCAGGAGAAGGGTATGCTGCTGGGATCTGGCTCTGCACAGGAGAGGCCCACCCACAGGGCTACTCCAGGCTGGCCGGGGAGCCCTGGACCTGTCAGCAGAACCAGCCAAATGCCTGGCCTGAGGAAAGGAGGAGCATTCTTCCTTCCAGACGGTCTGGTCGGCGGGGGAGACCTGGACAGCACTTCCTTTGCCTCCGAGGAGGACTTTGTCCTGCCAGGGGGACTCTGGAGAGCTGTGGGTGCTGGGCCCTGCGCTGTGTCCCTGTCTGACCGCGTGGAGAGGAACCGCCTGCTGTTGCAGGAGATGCTGCGTGGGCCCGGACAGAGCACCCCTGAGGCCGGAGCCACGGCCCAGACTCCCTCCTGGGATGGAACTGCAGCAGGTGAGGACAGCACAGTGGGCTGGGGGCACAGGAGGGTGTCCAGTGGCAGGGAAAAGGGGCTTTGTGGGAGGGGCAGGAGAGTTTGGTGGCCTGTCCCCACATCATCAGACGTCCTCTCATTCTTGGCCTCAGCATAGATGTTTACCGCTCGCAGGCAGCCCTGTCTGCTGAAGACCCCAGGCCCCAGGGGAAGGCCAGCCTCCATGCCGCTCTGGCTTCTCCCCTGTGGCCTGGGGAGTGGCTTTTCGCATCTCCCTCCCGTGATGGGACCTCACCCCGGTCTTACGATCCCCCTGTGGGGGTGAGCAGATGGGGGCAGGGCAAGGCGTCCTGTCAGCTGGGGGCACAGGCGGTGGCTGCTGGGACATGCAAGTGCTCAGACCTGAGCCGACAGCCACCTCTCCTTCCTTCCTGTTCCCCAGATCGATTGTGAGCTTGTTCCAATCCCCATGCCCAAGCAGATGCCCTTTGGCCCATGGCCTTGTCGCCAGACACGGGGAAGGTGGTGGATTAATCTGGGGGGTTAAATTGGTTCTGGAGAAGCTTCCTCCGGAAGGTTTCTGTAATGGCAACTGGCTGTTTCTGTAATGGCAGCTGGGAGCCCTGTTTCTGGCTCTGCCCTGATCTCTGCGTCCGCTCTGGGCCCTAGAGAGACCAGCGGGGGACCTGGACTGGGACTCGGGCATCTCCCTACAGGACTCGGACCAGAACAGGTAAGAGCCCAGAGCCCACGTTTTCTCTCCCTCCTTTCTCACCACTGTCCCTGTGTTCGCTGAGCATCAGGACAGAAGGAGACCTCGCAGAAGCCAGAGACAGGCAGACTAGCAGAGGTGGGCCACTGCGGGTCATCGTCTGAGGCCCTGTAGAGAGTACCAGTAACCCCCTACCTCCAGCCTGGTGCCAACCTGTTATCTGAGCAAAAGCTCCGGGGTGCAGAGGTGATGCAGAGAGCATTGCCAGACTTGAGAGTCCATGCCATGCTATGGCCGCTGTCTCTTCGTTTGTTTGTTTGTTTGTTTATTTAAGCTTATTCAGTTTTTTTTGTAAGAAAGAGGGTATGTGCATGTTCACACAGAGGGAGAGAGACACGGACACCCTTGACAGGCTCTCATCACACTGCAGTCTCCTCCCCCAGCCCTCAGCTCCTCAGGACCTTGGGCATGCACCTGACGTGTTTCTGGGCAACCTGGGATCTGAACCTGCTGTTGGCCATGTGGCTTCCAGCGCTGCAGATCAGTACGCTACCGCCTGCAGCACCGAGGCGGGGCCCATCTCTGTGCAAGGCTGGCCCACTGGGGGAGCTTCTGGGTTTGCATCTGGAGTCCTCACCAAGCGTGGCAGGCTCATGTGTGCCCATGATCAGGGCCTGGCTGACGCTGAGAGTGGTGCCAAGACCCTGTTGGGGTGCTGTCTCTGTCTCTCTCAGGGAAGCAATGAATAAACTTAAAGAACAAAACAAGACAGGACTGTGGTGAGTCTGAAACAAGAAAGCAGATGAGCAAATCCACCGGGAGTGTGTAGACGTGGGAAGCTTTCCTCCTCCTGTGCCCTGCCCAGTTAAGGCCATGTGCTGGGGGAGAAGGAGCCATGTGCTGGGCATGGGCCACCTGCATCCTGACCTGCCGCTGGGCCCTGGGTGGCCTCAGCCTGGGCCTTTGCCCTGTTCCTGGTGCATGAGGCAAAGAGAGGTCCCCAGCGGGGAGCGGCTTCCACATCCCGGTCTGCAGAGTGCCGTGGGCCTCTCCAGAGTGTGGCTTCTGCTGAAGGCAGAGGTCAGCATCGTCGCCTCTCCACTAGCAGGCTACTCCCTGCATGAGTTCCGCTTAGCTTGACCTCCTGTCCGGAAAACATGACAGGGCCTCTGTCTCAGTCTGTTTGGGCTACTCCGACAAAATACCACAGCCTGGGCGGCTGATAGACGACAGAAATGTGTTGCTCACAGTTCTGGAGGCTGGAAGTCCAAGATCAAGGCACCTGCAGATTCAGTGTCCGGTTCACATGGTGGAAGAGACAGGGTAGTTCTCTGGGTCCCTTTTACAAAAGGCTCGGCCCTCATGGACTAAGCATTTCCCAAAGACCCCGCCTCCTAATACCATTACATTGGGACTGGCTTTCAATAGATGAAGTTTGGGGGGACACAACCCTTCAGTTCACAGCAGCCCCCAAGTCCTGCACCCCACTTTAACACAGTGAGGGCTGTCCAGACCCAGGTGGTTTGGCTTCTGCTCAGCTGAGGGTCTGGTGGAGAGGGCTTCTGGCTCCTTCCTCCCCTGTTACTTATGACTTGGAATCACAGATGTAGCCCCTTCCTTAGGGGCACCCTTCTCCCCTCCATGGCCACTGTTTCAGCCCTGTCCTGTCCCCACTTAGCCCTGCACAGTGCTGAGGGATGTGGGTGCAGGTGGGCCTGTGGTCCTCCATGGTCCTTTCTGCCTTCCCATCAGGCCCTCTGTCCTCTCCTCTGCCATCTGCCCCAGGGTCCCTCAGAGGAGAAGGCATGGGTGTGTGTGCCTGGGGTCCTGCAGGGACGGTGCCTCCACTGCCTGCTACACACTCCCCCACCCACCCATTCCTTCCCTTGAG